ATTATTATCTTATGTTTGTAGATCATTACAGTAAGATGTCTACTTGATGGCACATCTAAATGCCACTATTAATTAACATTCTTTTTGTTAACTTGCGTATGCGTATTCATATTCTTCGTATCATAGCTTTCTCATTTCTAGATATTTCTGCTGAAATAGGGCGGAGGTACATGGTCTGGGAAGATTGTGCAGAGCTATTGTTTTCTTCTGTGATGTTTTGCACACAATGTGGTTAATCCTCAAGTGGTATGTCTACACAGCAAAGACCAGCTGACTTGGAATTGTGCTAAGGAGCTTATTTCATGTTTTCTGTAGACTTACAGAACGGTAAAACAGCTGCACAGCAAGGATCCTGAGTCAACTGGTATAAGCCCAGCCACAGGTTTCTTGCTCTGTAGATATATCCAAAGTTAACAGTTCAACACCTTTAATGAGTACTTAAGTACATTTGCTACAAAAGTTGATCTATTCTGAATGCTTAATTAAGAACACAATCTGCCTTTTTTCTTTTTTTCCTATAGTTTGAGGGTGGATCTGGATATGGTAAGTTTATATTTATACATTTTACACACGATTTAATGTTTAGTATTATAAGGACTTGATGCATACGTTTAAATCAGACTATTCTTATGCAGGGGGTCGCGGATCATATGGTGATCTCGGTGGACCCATCATCACAACACAAGTAACAATTCCCAAAGATGTAAGTAATTGTTTCTTTTTGTAATAGCTTTCTAAAACACCTTCCCCAAATTGTACAAATAAATCAGAAATATTCAGATGCTTATTTTTATTTCTTCTACACATTATTCAATGTTCATTTTGTCCCTTCATTTTACAGAAATAACTTTCAGTATAACAAATATTTTATTGATCTTGAGACATGAAAATAAACTAGTCACTTGATTTTTTTTTTTCTTGGCTTAGTCTATTTGATTTTTCTCACAATAATGTGGACAAATGTTCATGGCCTGGAGGGAGTAATTTTCACTGGCACTCTTAAAAATTGTATTTATGACAGTAATACCTTGAATTTTGTAACTGCTTTTACAGAGATTATATTAAAATGTTAAATGACTTTTCTAGTTGGCTGGATCTATTATTGGGAAAGGAGGTCAGAGGATCAAACAAATACGTCATGAATCGGGGGCTTCGATCAAAATTGACGAACCTTTAGAAGGCTCAGAAGACCGGATAATAACTATTACAGGCACACAGGACCAGATACAGAATGCACAGTATTTACTGCAAAACAGGCAAGTTGAAGTTTTAATGTTGCAGTCCCACTTAATTATAAAGTTATCAATTTATATGATTTAGCTTTTAGAATGCAGAGTTTTAAAAATAACTGTTAGGATCTGATTTCTACCCTTGGTAGTTTTGCCTTTATTCTCTTTTGTTCTCCATTCTTACTAAAATGAAGACGCCCTCAAAACTAATCTTGCTGGAAGACGCCTTAACCAAGCAGTCCTCTCATTTCTCTGGTGAAAACTGCTGCAAAAACTACTTGTAATAAATTTATATAGAGCCTGTAGAAAATATAGAAGATTTCAGTGGATGTTGGTCTAGTTCTGTGTGGAAGACTAGTGATTTTGTTGTTTTTAGATAACTAAATCGACAACAAATCGCAGTCTGCCATATGGCACAGGCCATGCCTCTACAGGACAAGTTGAAAACGATTGGTGCTGTTAATGCAGCATTTCACACCTTACTGGCATTACCTTGTCTTTTCTGCCAAGTATTAACAGCTTTAGATTTAATTTGCTTAATTTTTCTGTCTTAACATGTTGGCTAACTAGTAAATATTTTGTAATATTTGATTTGAATGTTGACTTTAGAGTAACTACTAATGCTGAAACATGAATTTAACCTTTAGTCTTCAAAAAAATATGAAAGTGTTTTTAGAACTTGTAATTTTGATTAATTTTAAAATGTCTAAATATTGATGCACGATATGTTCAACCATTCTAATACATGCTTTTTTTTCTTTTTCTTTTATAGTGTGAAGCAGTATGCAGATGTTGAAGGATTCTAATGCAAGATATTTTTTCTTTTTTATAGTGTGAAGCAGTATTCTGGAAAGTTTTTCTAAGACTAGTGAAGAACTGAAGGAGTCCTGCATCTTTTTTTTTTATCTGCTTCTGTTTAAAAAGCCAACATTCCTCTGCTTCATAGGTGTTCTGCATTTGAGGTGTAGTGAAATCTTTGCTGTCCACCAGATGTAATGTTTTAGTTCCTTACAGATATTTGGGGAGGGAAAGCGGGTGGTGCAAAACTAACATTGGAATTTTGAAACAGCAGCAGAGAGTGGTTTTTATTTTGTTAGTTGGTGGTAATCCTGTAATGTTTTTCTGTAACTGTTGTGAACACCCTGCTTTATGTACACTGTATTTTTTTTGAAAGGGGAGACTATTAGTAGTCCACATTCATGTTCCTGGCATTCATTCAGAGCAGTGTGCAGAATGTAATGCTCTTTTGTAAGAAATGTTTTATGATTTTTAAAATAAATTTAGTAAATCTATACTTGGTGGTCATTTTTTTTAGATATTCATGAAGGTAATATCTAAAACTGATCTTTTTTTGCCCCCTGCAAGAAAATTATAATTGAAAATTGCTGTTAAGTACATCTGCTTCTGATACAGACTTGTGTTGGTGAAAATACATGATTCAAAGCTTTGCTGCTTGGGAATAAATTGCAACAATATGCAAAAGTTGTGTTTGGTTTGGGTTTGTTGCAAGTGTTTGCCCCTATTTACTTGATTGCTGCACACTTGTCTGTATTACTGACTTTATGTGAATAAAATCTTTCAAAACTTTGTGATATGAGTTACAATGGTAGATTACACCTGAAGCCTTGTCATTGACAGCCTTGCTGATCAAAATAAAGATGAAAGTTGGTGTACTTCTAATAAATAAATTTTCCTTGTTTTTACATCTCAATTGTATAAGGTAGAAATTTTTAAAGAATTGGCAATTTGATAGTATCTAACTCTGTAACTTGTAAAAAAAATATCCTGGTTTTTCATTGTATACTAGCTTATATGAAACACTTGTAGTGTTTCCCTGTTGTATGTTGGATTACATAGGAAACATTTGTGAGAAATACAAAAAAAAGAAAATATTGCTGGATGTCTCATGTACCTTAACATTTGTATTGACATTATACACATTTTAATTCCACTTCCTAAATAAAAATAAATGGATAAAATAGTTCACCTACTGTACCCATAGCTACATATTATAAAACCAGTTTGTAAGTGTGAAATCTTGTGTTTTTTTTTTTTTTTAAATCTAAGCCACTGATGTTTTGATTACTGAAATACTTCTTTTTGCCACTTCAGCCTCCATCCCAATCAGCTATTGGTAATACTGACAAAAGGTGTTAGGATGCTTGTTCTTATGTGTAGGTGTTCTTACTCCAGTTTTACTAGCTCTTTGTTTAAGATAGAGCAGTTTATAAAGAAATGGGAAATTGTCAGCTTCTTCAATCTGAAGCAGCCATAGCTATTTAGAAAGTTTACTTTCTGCTGGTTTGGGGGAGGAGGAGAGGCAGGGAATTGTACCATGTTCACCTCAACAGCAATAAAGAAGAATAACAACTTCCAGCTTTTTACTGCTTCAGAATAGGGCTCTTAGCTTTCAGTGGAAGTTTCTTCTGGCACATGGCTAGTAGCAGATCCTCCACTATTAAAATGTGTTTAAATGCATTTGATCCTTTTTTTCCTTCTGTTCTTTGCTCTAATGATGAGCAGCTATAGTATCTGCGATGGAGGGGGGGGAGAGGAGTGTTAATGAAAAATGGAAGTTCAAGTGGTCGATTAGTGGTCCACTTATTTGTCCTGCTTCAACCACGTTTGGCCCTAGGAAGGGGCAAATACATTAAACCATGTAGAATGTAAAGTCCATTATGAAGTTGAAGTTCAAAAGTAAGCTTCTCATGGAATTACTCAGCTGAATTAAATCCACACCTCTAGCAATGGTACAAAAAAAGCAGGTGGCTGAATTCTAGGGAGGAGGTGGGCAAGGGTGGTGCCTTATAGGTTTTTTTGTGTGGTCTACAAGACGTTTTGTTGCCTATGTGCAGGGGTGCTAAATTTTGATTTTCATGTGCATATTTCCCTTAACAGTTTTACGAAAGTGACACACACAGGAAGGGCACATGAAGTGAGATGCTTGCTTACAGCAAACAACATTCTGAGAGCCCGGTGCATGCTCTGCATCCAAAAAGTTGTTACAGTTCAATCCATGCATACCACAAATTCTAGGTATGCAAGTGCACTTGGCAAAACTACCATCTCCTGGGAGACTGTTTTAGGGTAATCTTGTGGCTCACTGTGATGGAGGGCTACTCAGCCAGCCCATTCATTAGTCTAGTTTGCCCCTCTGGTCTAGGGAGAGGGACACTGCTAATATTAGTTGCTTCATATGCAGACTGCTGTTTATATTATTGATATAAGGTCTGTATTAATGTAAAAAGTAAATGAGCCAGAAACTAACACTACTGAGTTCTGAAAGAGCCATTGTAATCAGGTGGACCAATGAGTGGGAGTCAATGTTACCTTTGCTCTTTTCCAGCCAACAGCAGAATAAAATGTTTATGTGCAACACCAATAAAAACAAAACCTAACCGGTGTGCTATGCTAATCAGCTGGGTGGCATTTAAATTAAGCCTATTACAGGTATGTAACTTGCAAATGAAACACGGCCCTTTCTCTGTTCAAATCACTTCGAACTGATTGTTACGTCTACAATATAGTTCAATCAAAATGCGTTTTTCTGCCTCCCCTGTATTTTCTCTTATCCCCAAGCCCCCCTTTGCCCCCAAATCAGCAGCTGCCCTCTCTTTTCATTGCACCTGGTGTGTCAGAGTTTGGCAGAAGTTCCATAAAGTGTCTGAAAGGCAGAGTTTGAAATGGCTCTAAAGGCCAGGCCGCAGCCCTCAGTGCCTTAAATCGCTCTGGCTACTTGTGCCTGGGCCTGCAACTGGACTCGCTAGCAGGCTCACCGGGCCCCAGAGGAGCAAGTTGTATTTCTACGCCTGCAAACAAGGCAAGTTCTCATTGGCGACTGAAGGTGTGACGGCCGGAAGGGAGAAGGAAGGGGCGGGCCATGCGCTGCGAGTGAGAGGTTGTTCCTATTTGTGTCTGGTACTGAGAGGTTGTTCGGACGCTGGCCGTGTGGAGCCCGCCTTGCGAAGCACTTGGCCGCGCACGTGTCCAGGTAACCAGAGCATGCAGGGGACGCTCCTTTTCGTTGTAGCAGCGCCCGCTCAGGGCGGCGGTCCCGGGCGTTCCGCTCTGTCTGGCGCAGCGAGATGCTGCGGAGGCCTGTAGGTAACCATGAGCCGGGGGCGGGGCTAACAGACCGCGGGACCAGAATGATTCCAGGAGCCAAGGATGTGCAGGTGTAGGACTCCCCTGGGTCACCGTTCGCTCTGTTCGAAACAGTGACTGTGGATGCTTTTCTTTCCCCATCCCTAGACGGAGAGCCATGGAAGAGTTCCTGTCCCCTAAAGACTCTGCCCAGCTCATAGCCGAGAACAGCCGCGATGTGTTCATTGAAGAAGTACAAGTAAGGAAAGTTGCAGAGTTTCTGTTTGACAAAGTCTCAGCGAAAGAGTTCAGCGTGACTGGATGGAAAGCTCTTCACGAGTTGAACCCTCAAGCAGTGAGTGATGATGCAGTGAACTGGGTGTTTCTTGCAGATACCCTTAACTTTTCCTTTTGGTCTGAACATGAAGACCGTAAGTGTCTGGTGAAGTACAGAGGCAAGATGTACAGCGGTTACTGGTCTCTTTGTGCTGCAATCAACAGAGCACTTGATGATGGTTAGTGCATAATTTTTCTGAATTGTAATAGAGGAGCATGGTTGCTATATGCCCAAGTTGTTTATTAAATTAAAAATCTGCATACTAGTTATCATTTTGGTGAGGAAAGTCAAGATTTGTCTCATAGTCAGTTTCAAATTCACTCCCTGATCCTTCAACAAATATATGGAGGTGAACAGCTCAGCATACCTAGATAGTCCCTTAAAGTTTTATATAAGATGAACTAAAACAATATCCATTCTGACAGAAAATAAACTAGTCATGTATGTGTAAAGCAGTTTCTGTCTCTTGGGTTATATTTTCCTATTAACTATACTTTTGACAGCTACATAGTTATATGCATATGTGACTTCTGTTACTTCATGTACATATTTTTAAATTTAATTTTATATACTTGTGATTAACAAATCTTGTCCATAGTGAGACTATTAGAAAATTCTCTCCTGTTAATCAAACACCAGTGCAGCGCCAGCAGATCTAGGAACCACAGTTCCTGGTGTAGGCTCATGCTTCCACAGTTGGTGTCACTGACAGAGTGCTAGACCAGTGATGAAGGTATTGCCAAAAATTCTCAGCATAGGTCTTCCTAACATTGTTAGGAAGAAGCCACAAAGAGTGCATATAAAAAGGGGAACGCTATACAGATATTTTATGTTAATTCTCAATGACTGGGAATTAAAATCAATGTTGATATTTGCATGAGATATTACTTAAACTTCAAATCAAGCATTGAAAACTAGTAGAAATGGGGGAAAAATACAGAAGAGAGAGAAGAAAGGAACAGTGGTGACCAGCTATTGAGATCTATTATCTATAGGAGCCTACAGACATATCAAGCATTATTTCCATGTAATACCAAACATAATAGTTGACTGGACACTTCATCTTAATTTGTGAACAAAACTTTCTAGTATACAGCTGTAATATGATTGGTCCAATCACAAGTGTATTATTTTGCAAATACTTGTATGATATGATGTTCTAAAAGGTTATATTTTTACTTTTCTGAAGGAATACCTATTACGAGTGCCACATATTATGCCTCTATGACACTTGAGCAGGTTAGACATGTATTTCGCTCCGATACAGATGTCCCTATGCCTTTGATTGAAGAGAGGCACCGTATTCTGAATGAAACTGGGACAATTCTGCTTGAGAAGTTTGGAGGGTCTTTCGTCACCTGCGTTAAAATGAGTGAGAAAAGTGCTCAGAAGTTACTGCGTGTAGTAGTAGAGAATTTTCCTTCTTACAGGGATGAGGCTACATTTAAGGTAAGTTAGTTCTGCTTGGGAAATTTGAATTTCAAAATATTCAATTACTATTGAGCGTATGCTGAAATTATTGTAAGGCTGTCCATGAAAACTTTTTTTTTTTTTTTTTTTTTTGTAGTGACAATAGGTCAAATTTTGTCAAGAATTGAGATCTTGGGAAAATACACTTTCATAACATCAAAATATAACAGAAACATTGCTGTGAAATCTTATTGTTACTATTGAAATTCAAAAATTTTTCCCCTATCTTTACAATCCAAACATTATTGCACAGTGGTAGTGCTTGAGAACCTGAAAGTGAAACTGACTATACAATTTTTATTGACGTGTCTCAGTTAAAAAGCAAATAGCCTGAAGTGGAAAGCAAATCTGTTTTTTTTAAATAATATTTGATCTTTAATAAAATTTCAAGAATTACTTTATCACTTGCTTAACAAAAGTCTTCACACTACTTGAAAAGCAACAAGGACAGCTCCCCTCCCCCCACCCTCACCCTACCTCCCTAAAGAGAGCCTGGGGGATGAGAGGCTTGGGCAGTCCTGGATAGGGACGGGGTCTGCCTGGTGATTGTCTCTGCTTCTCATAAACCCATACAGAAAAGAAGAATTCCATTCCAGGCACGTTCCATTTTCCTGGCAAAATCCAACCCTTACTTTTAAGTTATGTGTTTTCCTGGCAAAATCAAACCCTTACTTTTAAGTTATGTATGATAAGAGGAAGCAGTATATTGAATGTGGTGGCCTAGCTTTTACCATTTAGGAAGAGTTCTTGAACAAAAAAACAGGCAGTCACAGTCAGAAAGACTCACAGACAGACTCTCCCAAATATACAGTAGATAATTATACAAAGAAAATGTGGGCAAGAAAATAATACATCATAATAAAAAGAACACTCATAAGGATTTAACTCGTCTAGATTTTTTTTAAAGAAATATAATACATTTGATGGTGTTCTCTCATGGGCAAATTTTGCTGTTATAGAAAAAAAGATGATCCACTTATCACTACTGATGTATTAACATTACTGTTTAGGAGGAGTTCTTGAAGAAACAGACAGACAACCTCTCTCAGAGTAGATTTGTATTCTAGAAAGTCACAGGTACAATGAGGGTCCCATTGTACTAGGATCTATATAAAAACACCAGAAGAGATTATTCCAGTGCCTGAAAGTGTATATTCTGATTCCACTAACTTTATTTTTCCTTTTAGCTGAACTTACAGGATTTTTTCCCCTTGTCGTCTTCTCCCTATTTTAAGGGTTTCAGCAACCACTGAAGAAATGTTTACTTTAATAGAGTATAACAATTTACAGTAGCTTAGGATCTTCACTCATGACCCCTGCTGATTTGAGGTGTTGTTGCATGGATGACTATGCAATAGAATTAACCCATAATGTTATGCTTCTGCTCAGTAGATTATCTCTATAGGGATGGAGCACAATGAAATAGATTGAATCGAAGTCTTATAAAAGGACTGCCATACAGGAAATTTGGGTCAGGTTATTTTTGCTTCATTTGTTGGTATCTCCTGTCTATACTGGAACTGATCTGCACTAGCATGTTCTGTCCTGGGAGTCAGAGCCAGTGAACTGTTGTGTTTAGTCATGTCTATACGAGCACTCTGCTATCACATTACATGTGAAGAAAACTTTCATAAGCATCAATGATAAGAGGTGCAGACTTTCAAGATACCTTTTTTGAACACCTTAACTGGAACCTAAAGCATACTGACAACATGCAAAGAGGGAACAGGCCAGTAAACTACAAAATGGTATTAATAACTGATAGTTGATTTTTCCATAGCTGGCCTTGATTAGGTGACATGATTTTATTTCTTTGTATGATTTCCTACTGAGAAATAAGATGTTTTGTGTATGGGAAACTGATGAGTTGGAATTATTATTTATGCAGGATATTATTTAATAACTAGCACATATAGACCTGAGCAATGCTGGATAAAAGGAAGAGCTCAGGGTAGGGGATTAGGGATGTGGGCAGGGGAATGTGCAAGAGGCTGGCCACTACATTGGGCTAGCCAGGGCAAGGGGAGGAGTGGGGGAGCACCAGCTTCCTGGGCAAAGAGGCAAAGGGGAAGGTGAGCGGCGTTGCGGTATTGCAGCAATGGATGGGGGCCATGTGTGACAGCAGTGGGAGTTAAGGTGTTGACAAAGGGGAAGGTGAGCGGCGTTGCGGTATTGCAGCAAATGGATTGGGGCCATGTGTGACGGCAGTGGGAGTTAAGGTGTTGGGATCAACTTGAGGGTTCCAGTGGCAGTTGGATATCAAGTTGTGTAGCTATTTCTGGTCCATACCAATGCACAATTCATCTCGCCCCCCACCTCCCGCCCCCCCTGGAATTTCTTCATGCCTCCCAGTTTGGGAACACGGAATTTCTTCATGCCTTCCAGTTTGGGAACATATGCTCTATTCTCTGGAGTAATTTAAAGTGCTTTTTTAGAAAAAGTAATTGTTTTGCTCTCCATTGTGAATTGTGACAATTTGAGGGAAGGGAATGTGATGGGGTGGAAGTATCCAGATATGTAATGAAAGTCCCATCTCCTTTGTAAGTTGTCTATAATAGCCATTTTGTAGCTGTAATTTAATCAGATCTTGGGTTTTTTAATGATAGATAAAAATATTTATAGTTATAAGAGCTAGAACCCCAAGGTGCATATTTTAACTTTACACTTTGAGATCAATGGGACTACACACAGTGCATTAAATGAAGCACATGCATAAGTCTTTACAGGATTGAGGCCTAAATTAAAAGCATTTTCACAATTAAGCAAATGTTAAGCTTCAGATTATAATATAGTTTCTGAAATGAATTTTCCTTTCTACTCCCTGTGTAACTGGCAAGATGTATGGAGTGAACGTTAAGAAGTGTTATCTTCACTGGACTATTGTTTGATCAGTATTAAAGGCAAAATGTTGAACTCGATGTACAAATGGTTTGATCTAGCGAGATGCTCCCTATGTTGCTTTCTTTCTGATAAAATCTTGGATGAGACTAGGCTCCTGAAACAAACTTTGTAATAACTGGGCTCCAACTAGTGTAACTCATAGTCAATAAACCAATTCAGCTTATAACCTGACATCACAGTGATTCCCATGCATAATACACCAATCTTACTCAATAACCTGATATCTTAGTTCCACTTAAGTAAATTCAGATGTATTTCTTTTTATATGCAAAAAAAAAATTGCAGTTGGTTCTATGTTTTTATTTGAATATATAATTGGATACCATATTCTTAACATCCTTAGTTGAGTAAGCATAATAATGACTATCCTTTAGCAAAAGAAAGTTTCTGAGTGCCTACATATCTCAGGTTCCTAACCAATTGTGTTCTTGTCTGTCAGGGCAAAAAGGTGTCTTTTTATAAACGGGCACAAATTCTAGTGGCTGATACGTGGAGTGTATTGGAAGGGAAAGGAGATGGCTGCTTCGGTGACATTTCTAGTCTGACTATATTTGCTGATTATCGTATACCTCAAGTCCTTGTTCACCTGGGAGCAATGAGATACTCTGATGAACTGATGAGGAAACTCCATGCAGGTTTGCAAGTCTTTTATTGCATCAGTGTTCCTGAATATTAATTTTGTAGTGTAGAGGGAGAGGGATAGCTCAGTGGTTTGAGCATTGGCCTGCTTAAACCCAGGGTTATGAGTTCAATCCTCGTGGAGGCCATTTAGGCATTTGGGGCAAAAATTTGTCAGGGATGGTACTTGGTTCTGCTGTGAAGGCAGGGGACTGGACTCGATGACCTTTCAAGGTCCCTTCCAGTTCTAGGAGATAGGCAATCTCCATTAATTTAATTTAATTTAAAGATGATTCACCTCTATGAAAGAGGTATGGGATGCATTTCTTTTCCTTCTGGTATGTAGATTTATCATCCAGTTAAGGCAAAAGCATGGGAAACAGTGTTCCCTCTGTTCTTTTCCATCTACATGTGGAATAATTTTTATGTGCATTGAGTCATGTGCTAACATGCACCGCCAGAAGAAACACAAACCTAGCTGTTGCTGTTCTACTAATCAACTTGGACTGCCCAAGCACTCAGCTTACAGGGAACACTGGAGAGAAAGTACATGCTCTAAAAATCTGGGATGAGAGGGCCTCTGTCATCTTTTTTGTTTTATATAAATAGTAAACTGTAAATGTATGTGGATTAAACACTACTAGGGCTGAATTAAAAAGGATGTAAACACTTCAACACTGAGCTTTAGTAGGGTTCTAGTACTATTTTCAGTAAGGTTGTAGCTCTCACTTTGTGTCTATATTAGTTAGAAATCTGCAGCTGGCCTATGCCAGCTGATTCTGTCTCACATGGCACTGGCTACAGGGCTGTTTAATTGTGGTGTAGACATTCAAGCTCAGGTTGGAGTCTAGTTTGGAGCTCCAGCTTAAGTTTGAAAGTCTATATATAATTAAACAGACCCTTAGCCTAAACTCTGAACCTGAGTCAGCTGACACGAACCAGCTGCAGGATTTTAATTTCAGTGTAGAAAATACTCTTAGTGAGTTTCTAATAGTTGTACCTACCTTCTCCCTGAACTTGAAAAAACAAAATGGTGGGGAGTGCTAACAGTTACTGTCTCTGAAAAGAACAGTACAGGCAGTCCCCGGGTTACATGGATCCGACTTACATCGGATCCCTACTTACAAACGGGGTGAGGCAACCCCGCACTAGCTGCTTCCCGGCAGCAGACCAGGGAGACATGACGCTAGCGCCTCCCCCAGCAGACCAGGGAGATGCAGAGCGGCTTTTCTCAGCAGACACCTCAGCTTGAGAATAAAGGACTGAGGGAAGTGAGGTGTGGGAGAATAAAACTGAGCTCTGGAGAAATGTTTGGCTGGAGTTTCCCCTACAATATGTACCAGTTCCGACTTACATACAAATTCAACTTAAGAACAAACCTACAGTCCCTATCTTGTACGTAACCCGGGGACTGCCTGTAATATAGAAACAGAAAGGTATTTTGTGATGGTATGTCTACACATCAAAATTATTTTGGGATATCATAATATAGAAACAGAAAGGTATTTTGTGATGGTATGTCTACACATAAAAATTATTTTGGGATATCAGAGGTATCCCGAAATAGCTACCCCGCATCTTCACAAGCCACCCGTTATTTCAAAATATTTTTTTAAATAACACGTGCGCTATTTTGCCATCACAGTAACCCTCATTCCATGAAGGTTAAGGGATGTCTCGAAATAGTACTTTATTTCTAAATTTGGTGCTGTTTAGACAACACCTAATTTCAAAATAGCCTATTTTGAAATAAACTTGTGCCAATCCAATTACTATGCTTCTGCCTTTGAAATATAGCAAGAGCCTCATAGCTCTTGCTACATTTCAAAGGCAGCACAGCACAGAACCTGGGGTGAATGGGAACTGCTTGAGTCCCTGCTCACCCTGGGTTCCCACTATGCCTCTGCTTCTGCCTTTTAAATGTAGTAAGAGCCGCGGGCAGCTCTTACTACATTTAAAAGACAAAGGCACAGCCAGGATAGCGAGAGCCCCGCCCCACCCTACCCCTTATCAACTAATTGAGTAGGAGATTCCATCGACTACTTGATTAGCTGGTTAATCAAAATGTAACATCCCTATCTGACACATGTACTGACAAAACATACTTGTATCCAACAAATGCAGATTCCATATTATGTTCCTTTAAAATTGATAGAGACCTATGCAGACACAATTTGTATCTGCAGACATGATCCACAGATATCTACATCTGCAGATTTGCAGGGTTCTATTTATTGATGTTTGTTTCCATTTTCCTGTGCATATTAACTGTAAAACAACTAATAGTAGAAGTCAAATATCGGAGGGGTAGTGTTAGTCTGGATCTACAAAAGGAGACGAGGAGTCCTGTAGCACCTTATAAACTAACAGATGTATTGGAGCATAAGCTTTTGTGGGGGGGGGGGAAGCTTTTGTCTTTGCCCACGAAAGCTTATGATCCAATACATCTGTTAGTCTATAATAGTAGAAGTGGGATTTGTCTTCAGATTTGTCATTTGCTTGTTTCACTTTTCTCATTGAAACCTGTAGCCTGTTTTTGGCTTAACCACTTCTCCTTGTGCTTTTGGCTAATTTTGGCTGTTAATTTAATCTCTCTGATGAAACAATGCTGCCTGGCAGTAGGGTAAATCCAGTATCATGACACTATAAACAATAGTTCATTTATTAGATCTACCATCTTCTGCCTCCTTAATGACACCAATCATTATTTAAAAGCAGCTCCCAGTCTTTTAACCTTTTGTTTTTCTTCCCTTTGGCAAGTCTTCCAGAGCAAACAAAATCCTCTTATTGAAAAACTGAATACAATGCATTGCACTTTGTACATGTACCCAATGTTGCTCTCCTGCAGTATCCCTGGTTTCAGTGTTCACAAAGCTTTCACTATTGACTGGCAGCATCAAATACAAACTAAAAGCTACAGTTCCCTCTTGCGGCACTGGAGAGAGGTAAAGACATCAAAATAATAGAATGAACTGTAGTCTCATCTAATAATGGTTCAGGATACAAGACACAATCTTTTATTTTCAGGATGACTCCGTTTTAGCTGCTAAATCCTTTTTATATTAAAAGAGCCTTCTCTTCAGTTAGTTAGCTATTTAGGAGTAGATTAACTCATCTAAAATATATATACAGTCTAGATATTACATTTGGCTATACATTGTTTGTCTTCAGAATTATCTTCAATGGTGAAAGTGGAAAAAATTGCAGCATCTACATGCAAAACATAATGTGCATGTCTTATATTTTCCATTGATGATATAAAAAGTGAGGAATTATATGGAACATAGGATTTGTTCGTTGGCTTTTTGGAAATCAGGAGCTTAAGAGTCTTATGGTCTTATTCTAGTGTTGAGTTATATATTCTGATTCTGTATGCAGAGGTGGATACATAATTGTCAGTTTCTTGTCAGAAAAAGATAAGGACTAGAATTGCAGTATCAGGTATATTAATAAATGTATGCAGTTTGCATTGCACCTGTCTGCAGCATTCCAGTTTTTTGGATAGAACTATAGTATCTTTATTTGCCTGTAGATCAGCCCTTCCCTCAGCCACAGCCTCCGTCTGTTGTATTTTAGAAATAACTAAAATATATAGGACATACTTCTCAATGTATGGGAGTTTATCAACACAGCAACTCAGACATATAAATAGCGAAACAAAACTCCTAGAAAACACACAGGCTGAATTTCCTTTATTTATAGTGCACTATATTAAATGTGAAACTCTGGGGTATATTTAACTATATGTATCTTAAAGGGAAAGTGTTTTATATTCTGTGATTCCTGTTCCACTGAACATTAGAGATCTCTGTGTTCTATAGGAGTAATGTTCCAGTCTGGAGATGTACAGGAAGTAGAGATCCGAGGTTGTTCTATTTGGTGTTGTGGATTGATTTGTGATCAACTTCTGGAACTCTATAAGAAGAAGGGACAAAACATGAGAGAGAAAATAAATGCAGTTCTTCTTGATTATTATCTGTGGGACTATGCCCGGGATCATAGGGAAGATATGAAAGAAATTCCAATTCATCGTGTACGTTGCATATACTACTAAAACCACCAGTTTTGTAGACCTCTCACTGAAGTATCATGCAGATTTGTTACTTCTACCTGTAGCTTTTTATATACTGACTTCAAACATGTAGCTGTAAATTAAATATCTATTCTCTGATAAATTAACACTGTATCCATCACTGCAGCTGTGTATTATTTCTCCATTGAGTTCACATTCAGGTAAGGTCTGATTTTTGTAATCAGTAAAGAGTTATGCTTGGAATAAAACTGACATCTGTGTTTATTTAATCAAATGTTAAAGTTGAATCACTTGTTTCAATATATATTCAATTACTTTATATAATTTGTATTGTAAATCTTAAACAATATCACTGCATTTTCATAAACATATAGGGCTGGAAGGGAGCTTGAGAGGTCATCAGGTCCAGCCCTCTGCACTAAAGCAGTATGAGATAAATCTAGACCAGTCCTGACAGCTGTTTGTCCTTCTTCCTCTTAAAGATCTCTAACTATGGGGATTTCACAACCTGCTTTGGAAACCTAATCCAGAGTTTAATTACCCTTATAGATAGTAAGCTTTTCTTAAATCTAAAGTAAATCTGAAGCAAGGGAGATTTCAACTGTTACTTCTTATCTGACTTCAAGTTGACCTGGATGACAACTGATCATCTGTTATGCTTAAAAGAAGCACACGAGATCTTTTATAGGGAAAAAGACAGTATGCTGCAATTATTGAGAATACTACAGTAGCATATGCTTTTCAGTCATACACACACACCATGCACACAGTCCCACCAGTCGATGTTATAGTTACCAGTCCAGAGACTGAATCAATCTAGTGGCCAGCCAGATTGATTGCAAAGGGAAGCCGGGCTTTGTCGGTCGTGACTCCGATGCTCCTGGAGTTGGTGGTAAGACAAACCCAAAGTTCCATGGCAAAGCACCCTGCTTTTATAATCCTCTTCCCTGTTGAAGTCTGTGAATTCTGGTTATCTTTTGATGTTAATATTCCAAAGCACCTCCAATAGGGTCACTCTGTCCTGGATTGTTAATCAGTTGAATTTAGGGGTGCCTGCCTTCACCTTTAGAGCCATCAATCTGCCTCTTCCTTAATCATGGATGCGCACTGATGATATTCTGACGCCGATGAGTCTGTCTTCACCCTGCATTCTCCCCCTTCTCTCTTGATCATCTTTAATGAGGGCCTTCACACCTTATCTCTTCCTGACGCATACATTTCCCATTCACACAAACAGCCTTTCTCAGAAACCTTCAAAGATATGCAAACAGCAGTGTTTTATATTAGGGAAAAGCAAAAAGCATTGTAAATTAAACCTTACTAAATCTCGTAATCAAAACAGTTCACATTGAAAACCTGGACCTTCAATATTTCTAATCTTATTAACATAGACACAATACAAAATCCTGTGTCTCAATTACTAAACCTTAATACAAAGAAATCTAGGCCCTTTAGGTAAATATAATGAGGGTCACAAGAAAAAAGGGTGGCAAGCAGGATTAAATTAAGTTATACATTACTACATTATTAAACTAAAATACAAATATAAAATCCCACTCCCACACATTATCCTCTTTATAATAATACTTCTTTTTTCAAAACTACACATGCCCAGTTTTTTTTCCTCATAGATCAGTATGACTGAAGTCTCCCCCATAGTAATACTCCACAAACTATTCTAATAATAGTTGTACAAAATACACCTTGTAAAGTATCATTTGGAAACTCAATTTCCTGGTTAGTATTGACCTGGTAACATGTATGGAAACATTTATGCGAAGTTATAAGATTCCCCTGTGCAAGGATAGGGGATAATCACAAGTCCCAAAGTTCACAGAAGTTGGCAAACATTCTTGATTCATTCAATTGTGATAAACTATAGCTACTTGATTCTTTTCAACAGTACTACTAATAGCTAATTATTTCCCATTTTTTAGCTGTACATTTGATTTCCCATACTCCAGCATCTTTCACAATGATGGCATAGTTGCCTACCTAAAATATTTACAAACAATGGACAAGCCTCAGCTACCCACCCCAAACACATCACCATATTCATTCATTTAATCTTAACTCAAAATACTTTCACATTCAAACAATCACATTGTCCAAACTATGAGAACAGCAATGGATACTAGATTGGCTCCCCAATAAACCTGACTCTTCATAGGCCACCTTGAAATGCTGGACAAATGCACCACAAAACCAATAATATACCTGAGGTAACAACTACAATGAGTCAAATTCTCCCTCACTAGCATCAACTTCCAGGCTATCCCAATCTGTTGGTGTATATTCTATGGATAGATGACTTACAACAACTTGACTCTTTAATATTCTCAGATTGACTCAGTCTTATGCATCATTGTTGAAAACATCTACAGACATTCATATTTTCATTTTTGTAAAAAAGTAGAAGTTTGGCTTTTGCATTTTTGGACTGTTTTGGGGTTGTTAGTGTGGGGAAATGTCACATACGTAACATTTTTGAATGCTCTTTTCAGTGTTTGGATAACTCAAATGTCCCAAGAGGCCTGTGAACGTCCTACATAAACAAGGCTTAAGATGAGTATACAGTTATTCTGTACTAAAGGGCTAAGGACCTTTCTGCTGCTGTTTGCAGAATGCGCTATGGGAGTTGGGGCTGCCAGTCTAGGAAGTGACTTGGCTAAAGTAAGAGGGAGAGGAGAGTTACATTCTTTTGAACGTTATTGTTAGATTTGATATTTGTGTTACTGTGCATGTGAACAGATTTGACATTCTGAACTGACATGATCCTTTTTAACAAGCAGCACCAAAGAGAATGCATAGGTGATAGAACTAGGACAGCACCCCTTATAGATTCCCTTCCATTGCATCAGTAAACACACCTATTACCTGTCTATTTGGGTTTGGGTTTAGTTATTTTTTGTTGTGAATAGCTGTATCTCTTTTTCAGACCTCTATTGCATCCTTCTAATAACCTCTGCTGTGTTAATGTTAAACTTCAGAAGCTGTTGCCCAGTGAGCATAGGGGCAAACACACAGTCGGAAATAATTCTTTTGCTGTGGATAGGAACTGCAACCCAGTGTGGTCAAATTTTAAATTAACAGTATCCACCTTAATACTTCACTTCCTTAAAGATATTTTGCTTGGAGCAGAGGTGAATGGTACCTCAATAAAACTTTCTGCTCAACTTCTCTTCACATCCTCCCTTACCCCCCATATGTGGAATACTCTCCTAATTCCAGTCTGCTAAACCCTTTCTTCCAAATGTCCTCATAAACCTCAGTTTTGCCAGGCCAAGTAGTGAACCATTAGTAACTATAGGCTAGGGTGTTTTTTTGTTTAAAAACACTAAACCGTGGTCACTGGGTGCTTTAGGATTCAGTGTACTCTACTTCTTCCGTGTCTGCTTTCTTTTGGTCATAAGATGGTACTTTCCTAATGTGTGTGTCGCAGCACTGAAAATATTGTCAGCACATCACCAATATTGACAATAGATAATTTGGGGGGGTTTTTTTGGTGGGAGCTTGAAATTAGTTGGGAAAGGCTATTATATTTAGTTATGAGAGAGCACCCACCATAAGCAAAACTGTGTAACAGAGATGTGATCAGATGGCAAAATGGCTGTTGAGTTGAGTCTCTGCACAACGCAGAATGTGGCTGTGTAACCTGATGGATGGACCTTAAAGGAGCAGGTTAACATGTAAGGCATGACACAGTGACTGATGGTTAACACTTGCAAGGTAAAATGGCTTAGGGCAGCTGCATAACCTATATATCTGGTGACCTGGAGGATGGCAATACCCCCAACAAGTCTGGGGCTTAGGATGGTGCCAACTCTCCTGATTTTATTACAAGTTTTGTAATACTTGGTGTCAGGGGTGGCCCTAGACTTGCTGCCAGCAACTGGCACCCTAGGTGAACCATGTAATCAGTGCCCCCACCTCCAAATCCCTCAATGATATTGCGCCACCATTTGGTGCCCCATTTAACTTGGCGCCCTAGGCTACTGCCTAGTTCATGTATATGGACTGGCTGCCCCTGTTTGGTGTCTGTCTTGAAGTCCCAGTTCCTGGCAGTAAGTGACTGATAGTCACAATTTTTTCTTTTTCTAACTGGTGGTTGCAGAGAACAGCTTGATCCGGGTGGCATGAGGAAACTGGACAACAGAAACCCCCCTCCCCCCACCTCAAACCGGATATTAGCACAAATCTCAGAAACCAGAACAGAGACCCAAAGATGTAATATTTATTACAAAAAGGTATTGATTACAAACAAAAGGTTTGGGTTTTTTTCCCCCCAGTCTAGTCTCACACTGTTTTGAGGTCTGATTTTTGAACCCAGGACTTGGACAAGGCTCCAGGTGATCCAGCTGGTGCGCCAGAATTTTAAGTCAGGGGCCTGTGAGGGCTGAGCTGAGCAGCCAGAGCCCGACGGGACCCGCATGCTCCGGTCTGGAGCTTTACAGCCAGCAGCAAGCGAAGCCTTCGGCCAGGTCCCAGGGGGGCGGCTGGCCGCCAGCGCCTCTCACAGGGCCCAGCAGGGGGCGCCGCGACGGGCTGGAGGCGCCGCTCTTGGAGGGCGGCAGAGGCGTCGGCGTCGCTGGCAGAAGCGGCCGGGTCCGGAAGGTTCCGCTGTTGCCTGGAGACGGCGTGTAAACAGAGGGGAAGCGGCCTGGCTCGCTCTACGCCCGCGGCCAGCAGCAGGTGGGTTTGTCGCGGCCCCGCGGGTCGGTGCTTCCCTCCCCAGCCCCCCGCCATGCCGCAGCCTCGCTTGTTCCTGGCAGCGGCCCCGCCCGCAGACAGGCCCGGCGGCCTGGCCCCAGAGGCGAGGGAAAGGGAGAAAAAAAGCCGGAGAGCCCCGGAGCCGGGCCGCCTCCTGCAGCCTGTCCCGCCCGGGCATGGCCCTGGAGCACGGAGCAGTCACGCTGCTCAGCCGAGGAGCCGCGCCCCGGGAGAGGGGAGCAGCCTGATCCCCCTGCCACAGGCCGGGCGCTGAGGGGTGGAGAAGTTAAGCAACGTGGCCAGAGGCAGGGGCAGAGCCGGGTCTGAGAGCCCGGCCTCCTGGCGCCGTCCCAGGCCAGTGCCCAGGAAGCTACAGCGGCACTCCCGCTGCGTGTGAGCCCCCTTTCCAAACAGAGTGCAGCAGCGCGGCTTTGTTGTTAGCCGAGCCCGTGCTTAGTCTGGGGATGATTTCTGAGCCCGATTTTAATAATAATAATTGAGCAGGGACACTGACATCTTCTGCATGTGCACAATGATGACTTTGGCTAAAAGCCTTTGTGTGAATAATTCATAATAGACGTCTTAAAATTATATATATGTAAGGGATGTTAGCATGTAGCCGTTTACACGATTAACCAATAAGTCTGGGCTCATTGGTTAATCATAAAGGATACATGCACCACCCCCCTTGCTGCCTCTGTATCAGAGGTAGCAAAGGGGTGGAGGCAGGAGCCTGTGCCTGTGTGGAACCTGCTTGTAAGCCAACTCCTCACATGTACCCCAGTGCTGCAGCCTTTTTATCAGAGGCAGAGGTGGGAGGTGCAGGTGGGAGCTGGTGTTCGTAGAAAGGAAGCTTAGTACCAGCTCCCGCTTGTTCCCCTCCCCTGCATGTAAACATGTAACTGCTAGAAAATCCAGCAACCACACATTTACAAAAATACATGTTAGTTAACATCCCTAATATATATCACAGTTTTGTGCCAGTCTGTCTTTCAGATTGTGGTGTGTTGAGGGGAGTACAGGCAGTCCCCGAGTTACACGGATCCGACTTATGTCGGATCCGCAGTTACGAACGGGGCCCGTCTCCCTGGTCTCTAGCAGACCAGGGAGAGGAAGCAAAGCGGCGGAGCACGTGGGCAGCAGACAGCCCAGATGCGTCTGGGCTGTCCGCTGCCCGCGTGTTCCGC